GCTCCACAAGGCTGCCATGGCTTGTCACCTTTTCTCTCATCTGATTCCCTCCTTGGCACAGGCCTGATCTTCTGCCCCCGCGCACATGGTGGGCCACACTGGTGTTAGTTTCGAAGTCTCTATGTGTCTCTCTGCTTCTATTATTTAAAGTCTCTTTTTTCTACTTGACATATCTTTCATTGCCATGATTTCAGATGTTATTTTTATTCCATTGTATTGCTTGCCCAGGCATCTTTACTAAATTTTGTGGTCACAATTAAAACTGGTTATTGTCTCTTTCCATTTGAATTGATTACTAAAACCTAAACCAAAGATGTTTCAAACTGAGTTAATTCTCTTCTCTCTATATATTCACCCCTTCCAACTGGGTTTTCAACTTGTACAAATAGTTCTAGTCCACAAGTCACATAGACTAAAACCCATCAAGTTCTATTCTTCCTCTCTCCCTCCATACTCAACCAGTTGCCTGCTTTTGCAGGTTTAGACATCCTAAAATCTTCACTATTTAATCTTCCATCTCTATCACACTGTATTTATTAGGGTTCTCCAGAGAAAAATAACTAATAGGATTTATGTATGGATATACAGACAAATAGACGTATGCTAAGGAATTGGCTTACATGATTATGGAAGTTGGCAAGTCCAAAGGCTGTCTGCTGGTAGAATTTCTCCTTGCTCAGGGAGAGGTCAGTCTTTGTTCTATTCAGTCCTCCAAGCAATTGGAAAAAGCCCACTCATAGTGTAGAGGAAAATCTGTTCTACTCAAAGTCCTTGGATTAGAATGTCAATCATCTGAAAACACCCTCCCAGAAATATCCAGAGTCACGTTTGACCACATATCTGGGCATCACTGTCCAGCCAAGTTGAGACATATAATTAGCCATCACACCCATTGTCACTGCCATTATTTTACAACACACATAAACACTGATACTCTCCAGTCCACTTGCTGTCTTTCAATCCCTCCCTACTCCAACTATCCTAGATAACATTGACAATGAAATGTTCTATTGGTACAATATCCCTCAGTTGTTCATATTTTTGCTTATCAAATCAGAAGTAGATTTCTATTCATGATCTTTAAAGCCATCCCTGATATGTGGTTGACTAGTTTTTTTAAGTCTTAATTACAATAATGTTTCATTTTACCTGTTACTATAGCCAATTTGTCATTTCCCTAACCCTCCAATTGTTTTCATTTGAAGCCTTTGTCCCTGAAGTTCTGTATAGCAGGAAACTTCCATCTTCCAATGTGTTCATGCTAAAATGTTAACTATCATATCCACCCCAGATTTACAATAATATTTACATTCTCACATATTTCTTTAGACATTTGACCTGCCCATATCACCAATTTCAACTTTAAGTGAACAGAGAAAAAGAAAATTAACAAATGATGCATGAACTTTTATACTAAAGGCTTATTCTGGGAGAGAGAGAACTTGTGAGAAAGACATGTACATTTTTACATATTTGTTTTTAAATCTATTTTTCCTGAAAGTAAATATTGGAACTAATATGGGACTTTCTGTTCCAATCACTTCCCCAAAGGAAATTGCATAATGATTTGGTATATATTCATACCATAATTCTATACAATTCCTCATAGTTGAGTATGCAAAACAACATAGTTGCCTATTCTTTTTATTTGGATATGAAAATTTGCATTATATTCTGTGGCTTATGTTTTTGCAGTTTTAGGCTGGTGCTGGATTTGAACCCACCACCTCTGGTGTATGGGGCCGGTGCCCTACTCCTTTGAGCCACAGGCACTGGCCAGTGGCTTATGTTTTTATTCAACATTGTTTTTCAGAATTATCAAAGTCCACATATATGAATCTAGGTCATTCATGTTAGCTGTTTTAGTGTATTAGTTGCATAAACATTCAGAATTTATTGTTACATTTACTTACCAACAGTTGAGTTGCTGAAATGCATGATTCAGTGAACATACATATGTCATACTTTCCTTGTGTACATGTATGTAATTAGGGGAATATACTTAAAACTAGAATTGCTAAGTGGCAGAGTACTTTCATCTTCAAAGTTATTAGATAGTGCACAATGATTCTCAAAAGTGACTTAGCAATTCACACTCATCCAAAAGTGTATGTTTCCATTTCTCTGTTTTTAAGTCAATAGTATTGTCAGATTTCTCTGAATTACTTTTATATTTGTTGTAAGATAAAGATAACCATACTTTTCTGTTCAGAAAGACAATTGTCCCTAAACCATTTTTATGATAGTTTACCTTTCTGCTGCTGACTTTAAATGATCCCTATATTATAAATAATTTGAGGCTACTTTTTTGCTCATCTATTTCTCTATCTCTGCAACACTACCATACTCAATTTGTTATTATAATTTTATAGTAAGTCTTTGATATCTCTTGGCAAACAAAAATCTTTCTACTTGTTTCAATATTTTCAAAATTTTCCTATTTCTATACCTTTACTATTTTTAAATTTTTAATAACCTGTAATATTGTATTCAATTAAAAATATACAAAATACTATTCCTTCAATATAAAATGGAACATATTGCATCTAAATTTAGATTCACCACATTTTAAGGGGTGGCTAATATCTATCATATTTTTAGATAATGCATTGAACCTTTATGTTTGCAAATAATTTTTTGAATTGTTTGTCAAGTTCCATTAAGCAAACGTTAAAATTTTGTTTCTAATTACATGAAATATCTCTTGATTATTGCTAGTGCCTATGGACACTGTTGATTTTTATATGCTGTTCTTATGTCTAACAATCTTGCTTAAGCATCTCTCTCATTCTCACCTGCTCCTCTTTTCTCTCTTTCTCTCCCTCTCTCCCTCCCTCTCTCCTAGTTCTACTTGGCCTACGGGAACAGTGTCCGTTTCCTCTGGTTCTAACAGTTTCCAAGGAGGCTATCTAGGTTCTCAGAAGACTTGCTTCCTTGTGCTTCCACCCTTAACTATGGGATTAGCCTCGCCACAGCTCAAAGGAACCAAACATAATCCCCCAGGTCTGTGGCCCTATTCACTCCAGTAGGCCACTGCTCCCAGGGTTTACCTGGCAAAATCAGCCAGAAATCTGAGTTTGGCAAGGGAGCCTTGCGTGTTTAAATTAGGCTTCTGTCCAGCTAGATTTCTGCGTAAATCAGAGCTTGCATTCAGCTTTACACTCAGGTGTCAATTCTAGCCTCTGCCTGCCCACTGCCTTTGTCTCAGCCTCAGCGGCATTAGCCCCCTGAGGGCTGGTGCTCCACCCAAGAAAGTTATGTGCGCCCTGCCTGTGGCTGCTGTCCAGAAGCCCAAGTGCCCATCAATCCATGAATGGATCAACAAACTGTGGTATATGTACACCATGGAATACTATGCAGCCATTAAGAAGGATGGAGACTTTATGTCCTTCATGTTCACATGGATGGAGCTGGAGAATGTTCTTCTGAGTAAAGTATCACAAGAATGGAGGAAAAAGTATCCAATGTATACACCCCTATTATGAAACTAATTTATACCTTTTATATGAAAGCTATAACCAAATAGCCTAAGAATATGGGGAGGGGGGAGGGATGAGGGGAGGGGGGAGGGAGAAGGGGAGGAGGGAGAGAGAAGGGAGGGGGGAATGGGTGGAGGGAGGGGGATTGGAGAGATCACTTCTGAGGTTTATCTTACAGGGGTACAAGTGAATCTTTCTAAGAGTAGAATGTGAACGTTTTAAAACAATAACTGAGAAAATGACATGAAGGCTGTGTTGACCAGTTTGAAGAAAGTATTTCAGATTGCATGTGAGAACCCCACACTGTACCCCAGAAGTGCATTAATGTACATAGTTACCATTCAATCAAAAAAAATAAAAAATAAAAATAAAAAAGTAACCAAACATCTCCAAGGCCCGCTTGGCACAGCCTTACCTTGATCTACTTTAGACTTGTTTCTGGAAACCAAGCAGACCCGGCCCGCTGCACCTTCCCTCCGCCCCCAGATGGCTGTGCTGCACTGGGCTTTTGACCAGAGCCTTTCAAGGGCCGCGTGTTCGGGAGTTAGCCTTCTCGGAAGAGAGACGTGGGCATTTCACTTGCCTGGCAGATATGTTTAGTGTTTTGTCCAAACTGTGTCAAGAACGGAATTTGGGAAATTTTTCTTACACTTTTAGCATTCCGATGCTGATTCGCTGCCTAATGAAACCTGTTTCCCAGATGCTTTGGTTACAGTGAACATAGTAATGATTCTGGGCTTTTTCCAAACCCACTGAGCTGCGTCCTCTCACCAGCCGGTTGACCCGCGCAAGCCGCTGGCCTGGCCACGCCTGCTGCCGCAGGCGACGAGACTGTACACACCGGGTCCCTGACGACTTCCGGGGTTCCTTCTGCCCCACAGATGAAGAGATGAGGGCTGCGTTTTTTTTCCTTTCATATCCTAACTCCTCTCTGATAATAAGAATATGACCTCGGGTAGAGACTTAGGCAATTGATTTTCAAGCACGCGGAGGTCACTTTAAGAATTCAAAGGATGTGAGGCACCTGCCTGGGGGCAGCCCATTCATTCTGCCTCCTCCCCTCGGAAAATGCAGCTTCTAGCAGTGACTTTCTGGGACCCTTGAGTAGGGGAGGAAGCGGCTGGTACCTGGAGCTTGTAGAGCGCCGCCTCCCTCGGCTCCACTACCCCAAGAGCCCCCGGACAGGCGCGCCGCCCTTTCAGAGCGGGTTCGTCCCCGCCCAGTTGCTTGGCTGCGCAGCCAGGACTTGAGGGAAGGTGGAGGCCTGGGGCTGGAGGTGAGGAGGCGGCGAGACCCGGAGGCGAGAGGGAGGGAGGAGGTGAGGAAGAGGGAGGAGCTGAGGTGCTGGGCGGGGACGCCTGTAGCTCGCAGAAGGTGAGGGCGGGCGGAGGCTTGGGGCGGGGAGGTGGGGCCGGGGCTAGGGGTGAGGCCTGGCGGAGAGGAGCGGCCCGGGCGGCCACTGGGGCGGCCAATCCTTGCAGACTGAGGTTTACCCCAACTCCGAACTTGGGTCACAGGGCACTCGGGCGCTGTTTCCAGCCCAACACGGACTTCGGAACTGACAGACGCTGCAACCCGAGCGCGTCTCCGCGGGACCTGGAGTTCGGGCAAGTTTATCCCCCGCAGGAATGCGCGCCCAGGCGGCCCTGGACCCGCCACCAAGCGAGCGGCTCTTTCTCCAGAATCCTGACGCTTCCAAGGAACTGGATACAGCGCGGCCAGCACGCAGGAGCGCGGTGGAAAGGCTTGCGGCAGATCGTGCCAAGTACGTGCGGGGTCGACCAGGGGCTGGCCGGAGCTCTGCTTCCGAGACCAGCAGCCCGGTGGCGATCACCGGGCGGGGAGACGACCCCGGGTCTCCGGCTCGCGCCTCGGGTCCAGTGGTGCGCAGGACTATTGCGCGGAAGCCTCTGAGACCGGACTCACTCGTCATCTACCGGCAGAAATGCGAGTTCGTGCGAGGACCCGGCGCCGACGGCTCCAGAGCAAGCCTGGTGAAGAAGCTCTTCCAGGGGCCAGGCAAGGACAAGGCGCCGGTGTCCCCCGAGACGCCCGTAGTGGGAGAGGAGGGCAAGGCCAGGGGCGGGGAGGCCGCCCGGACCAAGCTTGGCCCCTCAAGGGTTCCCGAATCCCTAGCTGCTCTCGAGCCTTCTGAGACTCTGGGCCTGGCTCCACCGAGTGCGGCGACCGCCGGGGTTCCAGCTGCGCCCCCTTGTCCCAGGCCGCCGGTGACCAGGCGTGGGGGGCTGCGGCGTTCGCAGTCAGACCTCAGCTCCCGCTACTCCATGGCTTTGGCCGAGTTTGACACCTTCTTCCAGTACTGCGGTCTGGACCCTGAGGTGGTGGAGACTCTTGGGAGGGAGAACTTCTCCGTGGGGTCGGACCCTGCAGGCTTCAAGGTACGCAGCGTGAGCGTCGCCACCTCCGACAGCGGCTTCTCCCGGCACAGCAGCGGAGGTGAAAATGGGCTGCAGGAAGAGGAGCTGATGGAGCAGGTGCCCAGCACCACCTCCGTCATCGAGAGGAACGCCCGCATCATCAAGTGGCTGTACACGTGTAAGAAGGCCAAGGAGAGTCCCAGCCAGGGGCTACAGGGGCCGGCGGGACTCGCGGTGCGCGCCCAGAAAGCTAGGTTGGGAAGCCCATCCACGCGCACAGATGAGGGCTTGGTGACTAGTGGATGTGGCTAGTTACTTAGAATTCAGTGCGCTAAGTTGGAAGGGACCCACGAGTTTTGGCACACAGAGGCTTAGGAGTTGAGCCATCATAGCTGAAGAAGAGGAGGCAGCAGTCGTGGCACCTGCAGGCCGAGTGCCCTCTCCAGTTGCGTCCAACCACCAGGAAGGGTAGTCTGTAAGTTAACACTGTCCCAGCTGGCTTATCACTGTGGAAATAGAAATCCGAATTGTAAAATCCTGTCAGCAAGCAGCTTTACACCCCTGTCTTTATTATTTCTTGTGCTGAAAATAGCCTGAGCCCTGACCTTGGAGTCAGCTGCCTGGTAGGCCTGGAGCCCTGTGCAGCTGCTGTCTCACCTCCCCATAGGGAGGCTCTGTGTACTTTGCTGGGGCTCTTACCAAAGAGACAGAACTTTTCTATAGCACCTTGTCAAAACTTTGGCATTCATATAGCAATAAAAAAAAAAAAAACTTTATTTAGCTAAATTTTGTTTAAATTGTTTTGAGAGCTTCAGTTGTTAAACTGGGGGAATTGGACTGGATTGTAACCAATGTTTCATAGTTCTGAACTGCTGTGATTCTACAATTTATTTGCCTCTGGTGATGCTTACAGGAACTAACTTCCCTTTGAATAGCCAGTAGCCCAGAGTTGACCTCAAGCTCTTTTTGTTGAGGAGTGATTATATGCACTGTCACCCCCTCTTCCCTGCAGTGAGGGCATTTTGCAGGGTTCTCTTTGAGAACCAAGAATTTAAACAATGCAACACCTTTTTTTCTCTTGCCCTTCAAAGACAACTTGCTAAATTATGAGATTAAATTATTTTGTCTGCCATTGAGATAAACTACTGACAGACACTGCATCAGCCTGTAGAACTGTGTAGAGCTGCCACAAGACATTTGAAGATTTTATTTCTAAAATTAAATTGAAAATTAACAAGAGGAGGGGAATTCTTTATTTTTCTTGAACTCAGAAAGCTCAGGACTTAAGTTCTTCCTTCTAAATTATAGAAGATTTGCTTTTTCTGCTAGCCTATGTCTCCAAAGAATGTATATAGGGAGTCAGTTTTTTAAAAAAAAAAACATTAATTTGTGTTTTTCACAAATTGTCTTTTGGACTTGGAGATGGGTGAAGGGCATTCTCACAATGCGATGCTGTTGTGAACATGTAGTGGAAGGTTTGGGGGAGTGGGCATGGTGGGTGAAGAGATACCTTCTGGCTATGGAGCACCAAAGCAGAGGGGGGCCTGTCTTCTGTTAGCAGGTGACTCTGGCACTGTACCCCAAGCTTCCTTGATCCATAGAATAAAGAGGATGGTGGATGATTTCTGACCTCTACATTTTATATTCTGTGTAGTGATAATCTGCTTATCTGTGTTCCATAACTGGAACCTGGAAAAGGGAAATAAAACACCCCCATCTATTGGATCATGTACACATACAAGGTAAGTTTATGAATACATTTCTTCCAGGCAGCCAGAGCATGTGCAACCAGTAAGTGGTATAAATAGTGGTGTGTCAAGAAGTTGACAAACAAACCAAATAAAACCTGACAACATAAAAATGAGAGTGGCCCCTCCAGACCCAGGCCCACCCCTGTCTCTAGCATGCCAGTGTCAGAACAGTGACCTGAAAGAGAACTTAGGATCTATGAAGTAGCCTTCCCAAAGTCCTCTTAGATTTGAACCTATGAAAAATATAAGATGTTTGGTTAGCCTGTGAAAACTTTCACTTTTATGACAAAAGTAGTTGAAGTGAGAGGAAAGGGAGGGCAGATTTGAGAAAGGATGGAGGGCAAAGTGACAAGAGAACAAGGACTCCCTGGCTTGTTTTTCACCTTCTCTCCCTCCATCTTAGCCCCATTTGTTCTAAGCAGGACACAGTGTCCCTGCCTTCCAAGAAGTTTCACATTGTTGCTCTTAGCAGAGGATAGTCACCCAGAACCTGTCTCAGTTTTCGTATGGTATTGTATGGTGGACACCAGCAATATAAAAATTTATATTACAAATTTACTCCTCAAGACTCAATCATAGTGTCCCATTAGGCAGAGACCTGATGCCTGGGTGCTGGGAAGGTTGTGAGAAGGAAATAAGTTCCCTGGCCCTTCTCCAGCTAGCTGGGACAATGTCTGCTCAAACCTCCTTCACACCTCACCACTTCTAAACACTGCTGTTCCCTCTGAAGATGTGCCGACCCCCAAAGCCCACATGGCACAGTGACACCAGCAGCATGGTGCACACTTGGTCAGTGAGGTGAGCCTCTGATACTCTGCACTGGAGTCACCTGTTCTGAGACTAGATCTGTAGCTTCTGGATGATATAAAAGCTAGAATTCAAGCTATCCTTTTTTTGATGAAATCTGTAAGGATTCAGTTTAGGATTTTATTGAAAATTTAAAAAATTTAAGATGAACAATGGTAGATCTTCTAAATGAAAGAGAAAACAAATATATTTTATATATAGGTTTTTGTCCCCTTGGTAGGTAGAGATTTATAAAGTATAATGCAGGTATCTAATCTAGAACTAAATAATCAGCTTATGAGTTTCTTACCCCTTGGGGTAAAAGTGTTTACTTTTCAAAACTGAGGATATCGGACCTGGAGAATGACTCATAGAATCTGCATGCAAGTCCACTGGGGATTTATGAGTAACAGACAGTTACATATGGGTAATTTTCATATTCTGTTTCCCAGAGTATAATTCACAAAGATTGCTCTTCTGTCTCCTGGGTTTAGTCATCTTCCTGTCATTCAATTAGTCAAATTGGGGACTTGCCAAAATGTATGTCTTTCTGGTTTTCTGTTTTGCATAAAATAAGTAAATTGTTTTTTTTAATATTGTCAGAAAAGAATGGTAACTTGTCCTTTGGGATAATTAGAGATAAATGTTGTTTAATTTCATGGCAAAAATATTCAGATATTCCACAGTTATCTTTACATTACCCTTATCCAAAAAGGAAGAGAGGAACAGAGGGAGGGAAGGCCTGAAGAAACCCACTGAAGCTCCTGGAACAGAATCCTGCCTCACATTTATTATACAAAGATACTGTAGTCATATAGAACACATAAGTTGGGGACACTCAGGGCTTTATGCTCCTTTGATGACCCTGCAAAGCTCTGTAGTTGCATTGGGGAGCCCATTTCAGGTGAACACATGTTTGAGTAGCCACCTTTCCCTGTCTCCTGGCCAGCACTGGGCCTTCAAGAGATATGGTATTTGAAAAGAGAAGAATCAGTTTGCTTTCAAATATTTAGTTGGACTGTCTGCCTTGTTCTGTTGTCTGACTCTAGCAGTTAGCACTGGCCTTACCAACATTCAAAAAAGTTATCTTTACTGACTGTGAGTAGTTTGAGGTAAAGAGAAATTTTGAAAGCCCAGGAAAAGGGCTGCTGGGAGAGGGAGATTTCTTCTGACAAAGAAAGCAGATGATAGTCATTCTATTAAAAATTAGATATTTTAAAATTCAGAGAATGTCACAGAACTAGATACTATAGGGCTCAGACTTAGTAGTATAGTCTTCTAAGTTTTGCCTGAATTGGGGTTGACTCACTGTTTCTTTAACTCCATAGGAAGCAAGAATTCCCAATGGTATGGACTACTGGAGTGTGTCAGGTGACTTGGGACCCCAGGGCTATTTGTCCAGTGCCTCTGTACCCAGGAATAAAGCACCACGGACAAAGCTTAAGTTGTTTCAGAAGGTTTGAAATGCTACTGAGAATATGGAAAACACAGATAATGAAAATTTGCTGACTTATAACCAAGAGACATTCTACTTATTTAAAGTGGATTTATCCTTGCTTTCAGGGGGCATCTGGAAAGCTGTTTGGAAATACTTCTAGGATTATCTTTTTAACCCTAATTTTTTTTTTCTTTTGAGACAGAGTCTTACTATGTTGCCCTCAGTAGAGGTCACAGCTCACAGCAACCTCCAACTCTTGGGCTTAAGTGATTCTCTTGCCTCAGCCTCCCAAGTAGCTGGGACTACAGGCACCCACCACAACGCCTGGCTATTTTTTTTGTTGCAGTTATCATTATTGTTTAGCTGGCCTGGGCCGGGTTCAAACCTGCCAGCCTCAGTGTATGTGGCTGGTGCCGTAACCACTGTGCTATGGGCACCGAGCCAAAATTTATCTTTTTTTAAATGCAAAGAGCATGAAAAACAAGTGTAAATGCTTGGTATGTGCTCCTTATGCCCATCTGGGGCTGACTGGCACCATTTGAATCAAAGTAATCAGAGCCAACAAAGAGTAAGCACACATTCACACACACATGCATGTTTCCAAAGCATTCCTATATGGTGAATTATACTTAACTCCTAAACTATGCAACTGATGATCTCATGTAACAAATCAGAAAGCACTTTTAAAATCACTTGGAAGTACAAAGTCATTTTATTAATGCCATTCTCTATTTGGGTTGTAGGCATGTGGAAGTCCCCATTAAAAGATGAGTTAGAATTGAGGCACTGCCAAATGACACCTTTTTTTGTACCTGGACAGTTTCTGGAGAGCTGGCAGAGAATCTGGGCACTCCTTCTGGTCAGACCAGTGGTGGCACCCACTTTGCTGCAGCACCACTTAGAGTGAGCTCCACAGTTCTGTGGCTCCCAACTTCCTAGAGAGCACGGGACATAGCATCTTAGGTGGGAGCTCCTCCTTCACACCTATGCACGTCACATAATCATCCCAAATTTGGCACCAATACACCCAAAGGGAGTATTTTTTTTAAAAGGAACAACCTCTGGGTGGCTGGGAAACTAGGATCAGAATGTGGTTAAGGGCTTATTGGAACCCTTCATTCTGAAATTACTCATGACACCAAGATGACCAGATTGAGATTTTGAACCTTCTGAGAGGAATTTTGTATCACTCAAAGAAAATTCATTAGCAGGTTGGGTGCAGCAGCTAATGCCTATAATCCTAGTATTCTGGAGGGCTAAGGCAGGCAGATCCCTTGAGCTCAGGAGTTCCAGGCCAATCTGAGCAAGAGCAAGCCCCCATCTCTAAAAGAAGCTGGGCATTGTGGAGGGTGCCTATAGTCCCAGATACTCAGGAGGCTGACGCAAGAGGATCACTTGAGCCCAAGAGTTTGAGATTGGTGTGAGCTACACTATGGCACTCTACACCAGCGACACTGAGTCAGACTATCTCAGAAAAAGAAAAAAGGTGTGTTACTCAGCCAACTGTTTCAAAACTTACCATATTTTATCAAAACATATGTCTTCAAGAACAAAATCACTACAGAAGTATATGGAGAGAAAGAAGTGAGTTTCTCAGTGATGTCATACTTTATAAACCATTCCATTTGAATATATTCTGTGTATTTAATTTTTTTTATTTCTATAACTTTTATTGTTAGAGTTGGTCTTTGAGTTACTTACATATTTATTTTTACACAGTTTTTAGTCTTCAGATAGTCTTCCTTTACTTCATGTGGTTTTAGTTCTTGTCAGTATAGTTTTAAATTATTTTGTCTATGGTCATCGTTTTTGTACATGTACATATTGTTTATTTGAACTTTCATCTTTTAACTATGAGTAGAAGGCTTGGCACTCCATAAAGTATTCACTACTATAGTGATTTGTTTCCCAGGAAGTCCCAGGTACACATTTTTGGAGGCTTTGCAGGCTGACAGATATACCTTTTTCTTCCTTTTTTTTTTTTTTTTTGAGATGGAGTCTCACTATGTCATCCTCAGTAGAGTGCTGTGGCATCACAGCTCACAGCTGACACAGTTTCTAAATAGAGTTTTTTCTATACACTACACTATTGCAACTGGAGTGCAATATTGTATGTTCTCTATTAAAGAAATAAAGTACTTTTATCATTTGTTAAATTGACTTGAATTTTAACAAAGCAAAAGAAATTAAAAATGAGAATATGGGCTTGGCGCCTATGGCTCAAGTGGCTAGGGCACCAGCCACATATACCTAAGGTGGTGGGTTCGAATCCAGCCTGGCCCACCAAGCAATGATGATGGCTGCAACCAAAAAACAAAAAAAATAGCTGGGCATTATGGCGGGCGCCTGTGGTCCCAGCTACTTGGGAGGCAGAGGCAGGAGACTCGCTTGAGCCCAGGAGTTGGAGGTTGCTGTGAGCTGTGATGCCATAGCACTCTACCCAGGGGGACAACTTGAGGCCCTGTCTCAAAAAAATAAATAAATAAATAAATAAAATAAAATAATGAGAATATGAATAGTTATACAAATCTTTTGTTTCTTCTTTTCTTCTGGACACCATCTCATCAGATTATCAGCAGAAATGAGGAAAGCATTGCCAGACTAAGCCACACCAGTTGCAGGACACCTGAACTTCCCAACTTGAAAT